GGGTCAAGGTCTTATTATAAACCTGATTTAGCTTTCCTGAGTTTTAAAAATCCCTTGTCGTGCTGTGGGTCTCATTGTTCTCTTTGGGGTTCCCATCAACTTATCAAGATTATTCTTGTGGCATTCTAACCTGACATTTTATTCTCGTTCTTAATCGTTCAAGGGTGTGGCGTCAACCAACTTTTATACCTCTGGTTCTCGTTGCATCATAGACAACGGGTCAAGGTCCTATTATAAACCTGATTTGGCTTTCATGGAGTTTAGAAATCCCTTGTTGTGCTGTGGGTCTTGTTGTTCTCTTTGGGGTTCTCATCACATCATCAAGCCTAATCTTCAATTGATGGTAGCCGGATCTAAGATCAATCTTAGAAAATACTTCAACACTCTTAACTTGATCAAATAGGTCATAGATTCTAGGAAGTAGATATCAGTTCTTGACAATCACCTTATTTAGCTCTTAATAATCAATGCGTAGAGTCTCATGCTCTCAACCTTTGTCTTAACAAACAACACCAGAACTCTATATGTGACATTAGGTTGTATAAACCATTTTTCAAGGAGTTGCTCTTAATTCCTTTAACTCTGTAGGAGCTATATGGTATGGGGCTTTGAAAATAGGACCGGTGTCAAGAACAAGATCAATAGCAAATTAATTCTCCCTATTTGGGGGTCAACTTGGAAGATCCTCTGGGAATAGATCAAAAAACTCACACATGTCGTGCTGGAGTTTCTGATCTTTCTCCTTTTGATGTAGGTGATGATTTGAGGACAAATCCTTTTGAGGAGAGAGGGAATGATGGGAATCAAGATGACCCCACATGTACCACATCAAGAGATCCATTACACATTCCAGGAGGTCCAATCATGAGAGCTAGAGCTAGGAAGATGCGAGAAGCTTTAAATGGCCTTATTGAGCAGATCTGGGTTGATAACAACATACAACAAGCGAATCGAAGCTTGTATGATTATCAAGGCATGGTAAACATCATTCAAGTTCAAGAGAAGCTTAGTTGTGGTCATTTGCACAGAATTACACAGTTTGCATCAAAATCGCACAATTCTGCAGCAATTTGTAGTAAACTGATATTTCCTGTTATTTAGGTTATTTTTAGTGATTTTCACATTTCTTGTATTATTTTTGGGCTGAACATTCGCTTATTTGAAGCCCAATTCATGGTTATTAGGTTTAGGACTTAGGGTGTTAGTTTCCTATTCTGATTAGGATTTGTTTTCTCTATTTAAAAGGCTTGTAACCCTAATGAGGGGAAGGCTATTGAATCTGAGATTTTGAGAGACTTTTTTCTCTTTGGTTCGTTTCAAAACTTTACAGAACTTATCAAGATTATTCTTGTGGCGTTCTAACCTGACTTATCATTCTCGTTCTTAATTGTTCGAGGGTGTGGCGTCAACCAACTTTATACCTCTGGTTCTTATTGCGTCATAGACAACGGGTCAAGGTTTTTACCTTTGGTTCTTGTTGCGACATAAACAACAGGTCAAGGTCCTATTATATAAACCTGATTTAGCTTTCCTGGAGTTTAGAAATCCCTTGTTGTGCTGTGGGTCTCATCGTTCTCTTTGGGGTTCTCATCACCACAGATATATCTTCTATTCTTGGCATCACACAACTAGCATCAATGACAGAAACTAGGAGACCCTGGCACCCATTTATAAGATATTTTTGAGCCTACAACGCGGATATTAGCATAGGTGGAGAAAAAAAACCATTGCTTTAAAAACTAAATTTTCGCTCACCAAGAATATTGAAAACTACCCCTTTCCGATGGCAGTCTATGGAGGGAAAATATTTTGACAACCAATTCATCGCCAAAATGATGTCAAAGTCAGAGATATCCAAAACAAATAGGTTAGCACTCAATTGTGATGAGAACCCCAAAGAGAACAATGAGACCCACAACATGACAAGGGATTTTTAAACTCAGGAAAGCTAAATCAGGTTTATAATAAGACCTTGACCCGTTGTTTATGTTGCAACAAGAACCAAAGGTAAAAACCTTGACCTGTTGTCTATGACGCAACAAGAACCAGAGGTATAAAGTTGGTTGACGCCACACCCTCGAACGATTAAGAACGAGAATGATAAGTCAGGTTAGAAC